TACTACATGATTGTACAATGTCCAGGTTTTCCAAGTACCGGTACAAGCCCAGAATATGAGCAGTTTGTGTCAGGAAGGTGGTTGAAACCTCTGCCATTCAAAGCCATCCATACCTGCTAGCAGGCACTTGGTACTGGGACACTCATGATTCAAGTAAAAGTGCTGATAAAAAGAGCTTCAGAAGTTTCGTGTTTTACTAGACGGGCCCTGTTCTCCTAACAAGCCTAATTGAAAGTGTGCGTTAGTGACTGCTAATTGAAGTACGTAAGTTCAGATCAGCCGAACCGTACACCACAAGTGACCGATGCTGCTTGCATGATTGTACATGCATTTCGTCCCTGAAGTGAACCATTCTGGATTTCCCTCTTTTTCTTTGTTTTGTTGCTGCTTGGGCTCCATCTGCTGCTACAGGTGAAAGATCGGGACAGCAGGCTCACGCCTTTCCGCCGGCATGTGCTCCTCGACCGCACTCTCCGCCTGCAGCGTATACTGTCCAGGCGGCCAAGGCGGGCCGGCGCATTACACTGCGCTGCAATCTGGGCGTTCGGCAGGACGCCGTGCAGTGGTATATCGGCGGTGAGCGCCTGGAGGATCGCTTCAGCAACAAAGTCCTGAGACCGATTGGAGGTCGTCGCGGACCGATCGCCTACGGAGAGTTCGACCTGCTACGGAACGGAAATCTCAGGGTTCGCCGTCTGACCAGTGGCCACGAGGGGCTCTACCATTGCACGCCAAAGACTCCCTCAAGAAGCGGCAGACTAAGCAATGCTTCGGAATGCAGAACCATCCTCCTGAGATTACAAGGTGAGGAAATAGAAAAGTTCTTTTGTGACATTTACCTACAAGTACCGCCTGTCATTATCTGGAGTAGATCTACCGCTGGCAAAAGCCGTTTTAGTTGACAAGTCGGTGCCTCTTGTTGAAGAACTCAGCACAAAGGTATTCTGCTCTTTAACATTGCATGCTTTATTCGCCAGGGTAGCCGTGTGTATTTTCGTGTCGGTAGCTACAAAGTGAGTCGGTGGACTGGAGAGTGATCTACAAACGTGCCGAACGAAACATAACGTTTTCAAGTGCTTTCTGTAAGACACGCATTGTTCCGTAACACGGCGCGTATGCGTTCAGACCTGGACTAACGCGCCGACTGCTTGGCTCTAGTAGTTCCTTTGTTGTTCCCTAGTGCTGTGAATGAGAGTATTTCCGCCGGAAGGTTGGCACAAATGAGAAAACGAGGCTCATTCAAGGAGACATCAAGGAGCAGAACCTGATTTCCAGTTCGAACGCAGAACCCTGGAGATGATGGGACTTCCTCTAAGCTGCAGAGTGCAGGACGAAATACTAGTATCTCACCAGCTTCTTCAATTTCTGATGAGGAGCACAGGAAACTGAGCAGAATTTTTCTGGCTTGCGGGCGCGTAGCTTACTGTGGAGTGAAGCATGATTGGATTTTGAACTGTTCAGCAATGTTGAGTCATGGGTAGAATTGGCCCATACC